CTGAATATAAAATTTAAAGTATGAAACGCGAGAATTTTTGTAAAATGAAATGACAGTGGGAAGATGGTCTGCTTCGGTAAAATTAAGTGTTAACCTCCGTACCTCTGTAAATAGAAAAACCCCTGTTCTAATTAATTGGGAGATAGGTTTATTTTGTACTAATACACAAATAACAAGCGAAATATTGTGGAACATGGGTCTGTGGTGCCTAGTTTTCCGTCTGTCTGTATTTATGTGTTTTGTACAAACAAATTAATAACTCCTAAACGGTTTGAGAAACAGCGTTGAGATTTTTCAAAAAAATGTTTATTTTATTAAGATCTTTCTTTGTTTAACATTATACTAAAGAATCATTAACCGTTTCAAAATTGGCAGCTATTCAAAATATTTGATGCCAAATTTCACGAAAACCGTCAACTTTACACAAACATTTCAAGAGACAAAAAAGTTACCGTACCGGTAGTAAATTTTATGTAGGTGTAGTTTTCAATGATACCTTCAGTTAAGAATGGATAAATAATAACAGATAAATGACTTCTTTTCCAAATGTTTTAGGGAGTATCCACCTTGAGGAGTATGTTTATCTGTGGTATCATGGACCAACAATGCTGCAGACGTTTTACCACAAAGTCAAAGTCAAAGTCCTTTATTCAACCAGATTGACAATACATTGCATTGGCCAAGTCATTGTCATTGTCATTGTCATTGGCACAGTCTGCGAATTGCGAGACAAGAGAGGCGGAAGGCGAAGGTCCGGTTGTAAACATGATTTGAACAGTTCACAGTGTTTATTGTCGTTAAGGTATGATGGCCAATTAGGTATAAGAGTTATTAACAGTAGGAACACATAATAATACCCCTGCCGCAGCAAACCTGCAGCCTAAAAACCCCATGTTACTCTGGCTTGCTACAGGTGCAAGTGTTTATACACTGAATCAAATGGAATCCTGTTGCACTACAGTGGCTGGCGACGTGGCTAGCCATGCAGCTCAGTGCGCAAATAACTTAAACTACAGAGTGAGTAGTAATTAATACACAAAACAATATTGTTTTTGAATTATTGACATTTTAAATTAAAATATTGCAATATTTCATCAAGGAAACATGATAACAAAAACGGATTGCAGCATTGAGTTCAGCTTACAATAGTCATTCGAAATTATGGGTCACAACACAACACATTTATATTTAAAATAATTGATCACATTTAAAAATGGCGGATCCAAAATGGCGGCTGAAAAAAATTACATCGTCATAGACAAGTGAAAATAGTTGGACAATGACTGGTGGTGTACACTTATCTTTATCTAGCACTATTCTGAGATGATGGTCTTGTTTGTAAATGCACAATGTTAAATGGACTAAAAATAAAGTTATAAATACCCCCGCCGCAGCAAACCTGCAGACTAAGCGAATTTCCATTTGCCTGATTGTATTTAGGCTACACTACATTTATTCCCTATTGTAATAGAATTTAGTATAATGAGTACTTAGGTTTGCCGCAGTAGGGAGGGAAAACGTAGTTTAGTAAAAAATAATGCATTTTCCAAATTTGATGAAAATATGTTCATAAACAAGGCATAACAAAGCTTCAATATACTAAATTATATGTTTTTTTAAGCTCTACAAAATGGTTTGCAAAGAAATTGCTAAATTTTATGTTTTATTTTTGTAAAAAATGTGAAACCCCTATTTTTATCCCATAAAACATCCCATAAACCCCCGTTCCCATAGCCCGATCATGTTGGTTTGTGAACTAGTTCGAATAAATGTAGGATTACCTACACGTTTATACCAAATTTCATCAAAATCGGATCAATTTTGCTTGAGTTATCATGCTAACGTACACACACACATATATATACACATGTTTATATGTATATATATATGTTATTATGTTTGGGAAGAAAGAAGGAAAATACAGAAAAAGAGACCATGATGATAATGGTTGTGTTTTAGCGCTCTCCTAAAGGGGAATTATCGGTAATAATAATAATTATATATATATATATATATATATATATATATATGAATTTGAACGGATAGTGTTTTTGGACTCTAGGGACCTCAAAACGAAAAAGTAATTCGGTCCTGGGTCCAGGTCTTACCATGAGTAGGAAATTTCCTACATGGGAAATTCACTAAAAGTGTTTAACCTCTATGGTTATTCAATTAATATTTAACCATATGTTTTTATTTACTTTCATTCCTGATGTTGTCTTGTATTTGTGTCTTAATTAAAACAGTTTAGTTTCTTTTGATCTTTTAATTTTGATCTAAATCTATATCTATACTATTATATAAAAATCTAATGGTGTCTGTATGTGTATTACTAATAGGTGCAAAAACTACTGAACCAACTGGGCTTAAATTTTACAAAAATATAGCTACCATACCAAGGACCATTATAGGACTATTCACATTTCGATACTGACCATAGGCTTTGCCCCTTTGGCTTTAAAAGTTCTTAGGTGAACATTTTAAAAGTAAATATTGATTGGTCTCCATGGCTGTGATGAGAACACTAACAATGTTTGTTTACATTTGCTTTGACATTTAAATGTAAACAAGAAGAACTGCTAAACTGCATATTTCAGACAGCTGATACAAAGAAATTAAATATAATATTTTCTATAACTATGAGGTAGGTTTATTTTAATCTAACCTTTTATCATGGATTATTTATTCTAAAACTATGTCAATGATTATAAAAAAAAGATTCTATAATCGTTGCTGTATCAACTCCGGCTCTGCTTTGGATTTTTTAAAGTGTCTAAGTTATGAAAATAATGTTATTGATACGTTTTCATGGAAACAGTATGACAATTACAATGTATAGATGTTTTGTATAAATTTGGAGGCTACTTTAAATAAATTCTAACTGCTTAACATGTATTAGATTAACTTAAGATAACTTGCACATCACATTGTTTTTTATATGTATATTTAGGTAAGTTAAAGTTATCGTGTTTTGCTAAACCTATGCTTAAATTAAACTAAAGAATATTACCAATAACTAAATTGTACCGTTGATTTTTGTTTTCTAACATCTGTTGTAGCCTATTATGTGTAACTACCTATATATTTAATTATCAAATGGTAATACAAAATACTCTTATTTTATCTTAACATAGCTTCAGTTCACATTTACTTTATTTGATACATTTATTATTTGTTTTGCCACACCACTGATTAAATTAAACCAAGGAAAATATCATAAAACTAAGCAGTACACAGTGTTCTTTTGTTTCTAAAATCAATGAAATATCTGTTACTATGTTTACTTAATGGTAAGTGTGAAAATGTAAAGGCAATGGATGATGGAACTGATTAAAAGAACTGGTTTGTATATATATATATATATTTTTTTTTAAGTTGTTTGTTGATATTTTTGTAGAGTGTAGAATCAGAGATGCAATGAAACATATACTGTATTTGCTATTACATTTTTTAGTACTTGATGCTTTGATAATCATATTAGGTTTGCCTGCTGTCTTTAATGCTAAATTATTTGTTAAACATTTTTTATAGTACCTATAGATATAGTTTCTTTAATATTTCAAAAGACTGAATTTATAAGGCACAGCAATATTTATAAAGTTTATAACAGCTGACTTAGTTTTGCTAATAATTTATTGTGAGTGAAGTAACTGAATTGTGATTCAATGTAAAGAAGAGTGAAATAAATAAAAATTCATTTAAATTTAATAATTAGTATTTTTGCAACTTCAAAATTGAAATTTAAAATGTCGATAATAAATTAAAATATATGTAATTAAGGGAGATGAAGTGATCATGAATGTCAAAGTTTTATCAGAAGATTTGGTCAGTTTTCTCATATCAGCCTACACAAAATTTAAAATTAAATTAATAAAAACCAAAATGGTGGTATCCACTACTTACCAGATTTAAAAGTCATAACTTAAACGTTTCTATTAAGGCCATAAAAGTTGAATTTTGTTTCTAAAAGCGTTGACGGATGTGTAACTATTATATGCAACAGATGTAAAGATTAAAAGGTTTCTATTTTGTGTTCTCTTCCCGTTGCAAAGCACAGGTACAACAGCTAGTAAGAAATAGAACAGGTCACAGTCGAATGAAGAACCCGTATCCCTGGACATATTAAGCCTCCTGAAGCCTTTTCCTTCAATACTCTCGACTGGAAGACATCGTAGACTTCCTTTGAGAGGTATTATTCCCTTAGCAATTTAGGTCTACATTCTGGTAAGTATCAGATTGACATGCTTATCTACTGTGGGGGAAAAGGAAGAGGATATAAATTCATTAAGGTTAAATGACAATGACAAATCTAATTTCAAAGCTGTTATACAAGTTTGACGATCATTTCCTTCCTAAAAAGGACCTAATTTTTGAAGGTTTCTAAAACTTAAACAGGGTTCCATGCCAATTGAGAACTTTATCACAGACCTTCACAATCATGCATAAAACTGTGATTGGAGTAAAATTGAAGAGGAGATGATTTTGATGGTTTTGATTTGGTATGCAGGACGAAACACTAAGTGATCGTCTTCAACTTGAACCCGAAATAAAACTAAACACAACTATAAACACCATCCATAGATCTGAAGAACTATCAAGATAGAAACAAACGCTAAACTTGGCTGACATAGCATTAAATAAAAACACTCACAAAGTCAGTCAAATTGAATATGATGATACTCACTTTGAAACACCCACCGAAAATGTTTGCTCTCAGTACATAGACCCTCAATCATTCATTGGCACTGTTGGAAAAAACTTACGTGATGATCCTTGGTTTAAATATGAATTTGACAGTGATGATGTTATTTTCAAAATTGATGCAGGAGCAGACATAACAATTTTGCAACCTTCTGACATTAAATTGAACAAGAAAATCAAGCTCAATCCCACATCCAAAACATTTAGTGGCGCAAATGGTCAAGCTCTGTCAATTTTGGGAACTTCTACAGTCAAACTATCACATAATCACAAAACATGTAATGAGACTATATATGTTTCTAAGGGCACTTCTCACCCACTTCCAGGTAAACCTGCAATAAAAAGTTTGCAGTTACTTGCTCGAATCAACGAAATACAGCCATCCTGTAATGACTGATATGACAGACACCCTAAATTGTTTGAAGGCTTTAGGTTCCTTTGATGTCAAAAGTAGAACTGAAAAATAACGCCAATCCCTTTGCAATCAACACACCTCGTCGGATTACTCTTCCTCTTTGGGAAGCTACTAAAGAAGAGCTTGAAAGAATGGTGTCAATGGGAGCGATCGCTGAGGTACACCATGTCACAGACTGGTGCTCTCCAATGGTTGTACCAAAGGACTCTAACAAAGTTCACATTTGTGTGGATCTTACTAAATTAAACAGGTGTTGCGTCAAACGAAGATACTATCCTATTCAACCCATCGACATACAGTAACACTTGCCCAAATATCAGAAGCAAAATGCTAATCTAAATTGGATGCTAATAACGGATTCTGGTAGATCACATTGGACGAAGAATCCCAAGATTTGACAAAGTTCCTGACACCTTTTGGACGCTTTAAATTTTTGAAACTACCCTTTGGAATAACATCTGCACCAGAAGTGTTCCAGAAATGTGTGAATCGAACCCTTAAAGGTCAAATGAATGTACTTGCGCATATGGACCATATAATTGTTCGGGGGAAAACTCAACAAGAATATGACTATATTTATTAGAAGAAGTACTTACCAAACTTGAAGGTGCTTCACCCTAAACAAAGACAAATGCTTGTTCTCTCAAACCTCGCTAACCTTCTTAGGTCATATCATTTATCTGAATCAGGAATCAAAGTCGATGAGAACAAAGTCAAAGCTATAAGAAAAATAGCACCTCCAACCAAAACAAGAGGGTATTATTATCTGTATTTTGCCGTCACGGTATTTCAATTGAGCTGCGATCTGATTGTGGTACACGGTACACAGTTTGGAGTTTGCTACCAGATACACTGGTCTTGAAAACTCTGAATGGCCTGAATGATTTTGGGTGTTCAAGGGTTACTTGGCATGTTTAACTTCATTGGCAAATACATACCTAACAAGAGCCGGTTACTAAAACACATTACCGACCTACCAAGTAGAAAAAAACTATTAGTGTTGGGGTTGTGAACAGGCCCGTTTTTGACCCTGTTAGCGCCCTAGGCACAACTAATAGTAGCGCCCCTTTGCAATATATACATAAGGGTGTCCACCGACCGGGAAATCCGGGAATCATGCGGAAATTTTATGAACCGGGAATTATGTGTGAATTTTGTATTTCTACCTGGAGTTTTCAAATTACCGTGATCGCGCATGACAACAGTTTCCGTGACCGCGGGAGACTATAATATGTCTACACTCGGCCGCGAGATATTCAGAATATTGCCACGATCACGGAAGACGATGATAATGTCCACACGACCGCGCGAAACACCAAGAATTTTACCGCGATCGCGGAAGACGATGATGATCTCCACACAACTGCGGAACATGATTAACATTTTGCTGCAATCGTGGGAGACGATTACCATGTATACACGACCGCGGGAGACGGTTACAATGTCTACAGGACCGCGGGAGATACAATAATGATTTACACGGCCGCGAGGGACGATCGGAATTATGCCACGATCGCGCAAGGCAATGATAATCTCCACATGACCGCGGGAAAAAATCAGAATTTTGCCTCATTCACGGAAGACGATGATCTCCATATGTCCACAGGGGATGATTACAATTTTTCCAAAATCACAGGAGACGATTACGATGTCTACAGGACCGCGGGAGATACAAAAATGATTTCTACACCGCCGCGAGGGATGATCAGAATATTGCCGCGATCACAGAAGACGATGATAATGACCACACGATCGCGGGAAAAGTTCAGTACTTTGCCTAATTTGCGGAAGAGGATGATGATCTCCACAAGACCGAGGGAGATGATAACCATTTTGTCACAATCGTGGGAGGCGATTAATATGTTCACACGACCGCGGGGGCCGCGAGGGGTGGTCAGAATTTGACCGCGATCGCGCAAGACGAAGATAATGTCCTTACGACTGCGGGAAAAGATCAGAATTTTGCCTCATTCGCGGTAGACGATGATAATCTCCTCACGACCGCGGGATATGCTCATATATTGCTTCGATCATGGAAGACGATAATTATGTCTAAACGACCTGACCGCTGAAAATAGTAAGAATCTCGCCGCAAACGCGGGAGACGATTACGATGTCTACACGGCCGCGAGGGATTATCAGAAGTTTACCGCAATCGCATGAAAATAACCACCAACTTTTTTTTCAAATTTTTGGCGCCCTCTAAAAAAGCCAATTGGCCCCCCCCCCTGGTTGTGAACAACAAAAAGCGTTCGATGAACTGAAAGAATTATTGGCTTTACCACCTTAACTTGCATTCTATGATAAAAATAAACCGACTATGATTTCTGCTGGCTATTCTACTCAAGGCTTGGGTGAAGTTGTAAAAACTTGCCAATCAAATAAGTGATTTTCTCATAAATAATTATAATATTAAAACCACTTTTGTAACACAAGCTTTTTATTTTCTTATTTTAATTCAAAACTAACTCTTGTTTGTTTACAAGAGTAACAATATTAATTCAAACATATGAATATTACAACTGACTTGATTAAATTAAGCCAGTAGAAAAAGAAACAACTTAAAACAATTTCTAACACACTCCCCCCTTTGCGAAAGTGTTCGCAACAAAAATATTTTTTTCAATGAAGGGAAATTACTACAGGTTCAATTTCTCAGTTCTCTGTACTCGTCTCCCGCTTCTTGTTGTTGTTACTGTCTTGTCAGGAGTAGAGTTCATCTTGAGTACAGGATCGCTTCTTGTTTTTGTTACTGTCTTGTCAGGAGTAGAGTTCATCTTGAGTACAGGATCTCTTTCTTCACTCAAGACTTCTAATGGGTACAGCCTTTGTACTGGCCTCAAGAAAACTCCATTTTTTGTCTGTACTTTTACAAGACGTACAACGTTGTCTTTGCCAGGAAACACTTGTACAACTTTTCCTAATGGCCACATACATCTTCTTTTGTCTTCATTGTGTACAATCACAATGTCTCCAACTTTGATAGTGTCAGTTCGACAATTCTTAGATGACTTCAAAAAACTTAAATATTCTTTTTTAAATCTTCTTCGTAGTTCATCTCTTAATTTTTGTAAATATCTCCATCTTGATTTTATACTTGTTCTTTCAAGATCATCAAAGTCTGAAACATCACTTCTTTCAAGACTTTGAATAAACATGGAAGGTGTTAATGGATTTAACTCATCAGGGTTTTCAGATATGTAAGTCAACGGTCTTTTATTCATTATACATTCACATTCACAAATTAATGTGTTTAGTTCTTCATAGTTGAGGGAAGCTTTTCCTAAACTTCTTCTGAGAAGACCTTTTAATATTCTAATCAACCTCTACCAGAACCCTCCCCACCAAGGAGCTGCTGGTGGATTAAATCTCCAAACTATTGACTTTAGGTTGAACTCATCTTGTATCTTCTCCCAGTTCAATGTTTTCAACTGTTTATCGAGACCAACAAAATTTGTTCCGTTGTCAGAATACATTACTTCAACTCTTCCTCTTCTTGCAATAAATCTTCTAAGAGCAAGAACAAAGGTTTCGGTGCTTAAAGATGTTAAGTTACTAGCTCTAGATGAACAGCTCGATAAACCGCACAGGTAAATATAACCACCCAACTTTTACTACCATCTTTGCAATACAACGGACCAGCAAGATCTACCCCTGTTGTTTGAAAACAGTTTGATATGTTTGTTCTTTCTTCAGGCAGTGGGGGTAAAGGGACTTGTAGTGATTTAGCTGCTAACTTTTTACACGTGACACACTTGTGTATAACCCTACCAACAGTTTTACGTCCTTTTAGTATCCACACTCTTTCTCGTAGAATAACTAACAAGGCTTGTACACCCGCGTGCTTGTTCTGTACATGATACTGTTCGATTAGCCTGTCAACTGCAATATGATGAGATGGTAGGATAACAGGATAAACAAATTCTTGATTATCTTCTGCACTTAAAACTCTTGATTTTAGTCGGATGATACCATCATCATCTATGAATTTTTGGATTCCACTCAGTGTAGTACATTTGAGTTCTGCAGGGAAACTTTCTTGTTGAATAAGTCTAAATATAACTTTTTCAGCTCTTTTAAACTCATCTGCTTGAATGTTACACTTTATTCTTCTGTCATTCGTAGGACTCAGTCTTAATATCCATGCAACTGTCCGCACTATTTTTGAATATTTTGATATTCGGTTACCCAACAATTCAGCAATGTTAAATGTTTGAACCGTGCAAATAGTAGTCACCAACCTCTTCTTTTCTTTTTCCATCTCTTGGGAACAAGGCACAGGTTTATCTGAAGGCCAATCCTCAAGAGATTTATAAAGCCATTCAGGTCCACACCACCACTGTGACTTAAATAGCTGTTTTGGAGTACATCCCCTAGAGAGAATGTCTGCAGGATTATCAGGACCAGGTACATGTCTCCACTGAGAGGGTACAGTGAACTTGTTAATTTCTTTTACCCTATTCTCTATAAATACTGACCACTTTCCCTGTTTGGCAATCCAAGCAAGGGCCACAGATGAATCCAACCAAAACAATACAGGGAGGTTAGGGCTGTCGATACACTGCAATGCTAAAGAACACAGCCTTACACCAATTACAGCTCCCATCAGTTCAAGTCGTGGTAATGATATCTGTTTCACTGGTGCAACTCTTGCCTTTGCTAAAATGAGACTTACATGAACACCTTTGTCAGTTACCGTTTTTAAAAATATACAACTTCCAAAAGCGTTCTTGCTTGCATCACAAAATACATGTAATGTACTACTAGTATTAACTATGATTCTACGGTTTATAGTACACTTTTCCAAATACTCAAGTTGGTCAGCCCACTTATAATATTCTTCTTGTAAGTCTTCAGGTAATTTATCATCCCAATTAAGTTTCAAAGTCCAAGTCTTTTGTAGTATCATCTTAGGCACTAAACTAGTGGGTGCTGTAAAACCAATAGGGTCAAAAATCTTCTGAGCACATGACAATAATGTTCGCTTAGTCAGTTTTGTTGGTTTTAATTTTAAGGGTGAAGAACTACAATAGAATTCATCTCTTCTGCAGGACCACTTTAAACCCAAAACATTTTCTACATGATCTGGAGACTCAAAATAACCATTGCCAACCCATCCTCTCAGATTAAAACCCCCAAGCTTTAAAACGTTTTCTGCTTGTCTGATTAATTTATTTTGGTCACTTAAATCATCAACCCCAGTCAAACAGTTGTCGACATAAAAAGATTCCTTTAAATTTTGAGCTATGGGTTGTAAATCAGTTGAAACATGGTCAAAATGATGATTTAGCACCGCACCTAACAAAAAAGGGCTACAAGAAAGACCAAATACTACTCTAGTGTGGCGATAAGTGATTACTTTCCCATCTTTCCACCATAAGAAACGTAACATGTCTCGATCTTCAGGGTCTATAACAATTTGTAAAAATGCCTTTTCTATGTCTGCAGTTAAACCATAAGTATGTTTTCTGAATTTAGTCAATACTTTAGGAATCAGTTCAATTAAGTTGGGGCCTGATTCAAGTGAAGAGTTTAGACAGTACCCGTTTATATCCTTGTTTGATGCATCAAACACAGGTCTAATTCTTGTTGTACTTCCTTCTTTTATGACCGGACGATGAGGTAAATAATGTACATTTTGTGATGATAAAGAGTTATCAACATCTACTTTTTCTATTATTTCTTTCTCCAACCACTCATTAAAAACTAAGTCGTATCCAGAATACAAACTCATGTGATGTAACTTACGTGTGGTCGTCTGTAGCCGTTTTTCTGCTGCTTGATGATTCGTTTCTAATGGTGGATGGTCATCTATCCATGGAAGCTTCACAACATAACGCCCATCCATTTTCCTGTTGACTGTTCTTTCGAAATGTTCAAATACTCTTGCATCCTTTTCTTTTTTATCAAGCTGTTGAATGGGGTCAGCAATACCTAATGTTTCAAGGTCCCAAAAGTTTCCTATGTCAGATGTAGATAAGGTGGATGCAAACATCGTTGAAACGAAGGACGATTTCTTATGTGATGACCCAACAACAGTCCAACCAAGCTGGGTCCTTATCGCTACCAACTGATCGCTTATTTTCATGAACTCGTTCGTGATTATAGTAGACCAGGCATCAGCTCCAATCAACACATCGATGTTAGTATGATCTGTATTTGTTGTTGTTGGAATATCAGTTAAAATAATGTTTTGCTTTTTCAGTGCATCAATAAGATTTTGGTCCGTGAGTTGAGGAATTTGACTACAAATCATAGGCTGTTCCAATACATTTAGATTCATTTTGTAGTCTGAACTCAATGATTCCAGAGCAAGGGTGTAATATGCCTGTTGTCTTGGCTTCGTGTTCCTTCCTCCAAAAACTTCTTGTTGGACCAAAACACTTCCTTTAGGCTTGAGACCTAGTTGTCTTGCACATTCTTCAGTTACAAAACTCTTCTGAGATCCTGAATCACACAGAATTCTTACCCTTTTCTTTGTGTTATTCGGACCAAAAATGTGAGCTAAAAGGGTCTGTAAATAAGTAACTTTATTTTCTGTTGTTGTTACAGAATTAGTGCTATTCTGTTCAGGCTCCTTTTTCTTGAATACATGTGACTTTTCATCATTAGTCTGAACTTTCTTGCATAGGACAGTTAAGTGGTTCCCTTTGCAGAAAATACACTTAACTTGGAACTTACAATTACTTGCTAAATGACCTTTTCTTAAACATCTTAGACATGCTCCTTTTTTCTTTACCATCTCAACCCGTTCATCTACATTCAAGTCAATCAACGAAAAGCATTCATGTGACAAATGAGATCCTTTTGAACAAAATATACAGTTGGATTTAACAACTGACTCAGGTTTGGAAGATGACACAAGAACAGCAGCAGAAGGTAAGCTTGTCTTTGGCTTAACAGATTTAGTCATTTTACATTCTTGTTTACCATCAGTATCTTGATCAAACTTATTAACCCGCAACTTTAATCTCTCCTCTGCATCAACTTCAACTTTTAAGAAATTCAAAAGCTGAACAAGACAATTTTCTGGTTCTTTAGTTGATGCATTGTGTAGAACACGGTGTCTTTCCCAGACTTTAAACACAGGTTCTGGGATAGCTGATTCTACTAAAGGGAAAATTATTGCTGCAAATTTGTCTTTGGTTACCCCCAATGAATCTAAAGATCTAAGCTGTACCCCCAATTTATCATAAAGATATGTCACAGAAAGATTTTCCTCTCTTTTAAGAACTAGGGTTAACAATTCCCTTACATAATATTCAATGAGGAACTCGTCTTTCCCATATCGGGACTTCAAAACATCTACAGCTTTTGCATAGTTTTCTTTAGATGCTGGAAAACTTTCTATGAGTTTTTGAGCAGGAGAATCTGGTTTCATTGATTGGTAAAGATACTCAAATTTGTCTTCATCTTTCAAATTATTGTCATCATGTATTTTAGCAAATTGAGACCAAAACCCAATCCAATTTTTTATTTCTCCATCAAATTTTTTTAGCTCAATTTTTGGGAGTCTTACTTTAGTACAATTTGAAGGGGCCGGTATACTAATATTTGAATGTGAATCAACTGCAACAGCTAGCTGAGTATTTTGAACTAACATAGTTACCTCATGATACTTCTCATTGTATTCAGAAGCTGTTGTCATCTCATTTTCAATGTCCTCTTCATTAGCATTCTCATTTTCTATCAACTTACTTAACACTTTTTCATTTACTTTCTGTAATTTTTCATGAAACTCCATAAATGAATTATATTTTGGTAAAATAATCCTCAAATCAGCATTGTTGTCTACAAGTTCTTCAATAGCCTTGGCCTTTTTGGTAAAAACTGACCTAAGTCCTTTTCTTTCAGTTTCACTCATATTAATTTAAATTATACAATATTAGACTTAAATATCATATAATCCTGGCAGGGTCGCCAAATGTAAAAACTTGCCAATCAAATAAGTGATTTTCTCATAAATAATTATAATATTAAAACCACTTTTGTAACACAAGCTTTTTATTTTCTTATTTTAATTCAAAACTAACAACTCTTGTTTGTTTACAAGAGTAACAATATTAATTCAAACATATGAATATAACAACTGACTTGATTAAATTAAGCCAGTAGAAAAAGAAACAACTTAAAACAATTTCTAACAGAAGTACTTTTACAACAACAATAAGGTGGGAATTGGTAACCTATTTCTTATATTTCACGAACTCTGAACGAAACTACTCTAACATAACGAGAAGCTCTATCATTAACATGGAGTTGTGACAAGTTTAAAGACTACATTGTGGGCGAACACATAATGCTGGAAACAGATCACAAACCTTAGGTAAGTATTTTGGCTACTAAAGAGATCAATGATATCACACCCCGTCTTCAAAGACTAAGACTTCGTCTGATGAGATATTCCTACAATGAGACATATACACCTGGCAAACATTTAGCCACTGCTGATTGTCTCTCAAGAAGCCCTGTAGCAACTAATGAGAGTTATGATGTAGATGAGGAAGTTGAACTGGCCATCCACACAGTAACAAGAAACATTGCCTATATAACTGACATGGTTTTTGATAGAATTGCCACGGCGAGCTAGTTCAGAACTCAGGATAATTCAATCTTACTGCTCAACTGAATGGCCTGATAAAACTAAGATTCCCGATGATCTTAAGCCATACACAGTTCGGGATTAAATCTCTTTTTGTGACAGACTATTGCTTAGAGGATAACGTCTCATAATCCCGGCAACTCTTAGACAAGAAATGTTGACAAGAATACATACGGGCCACCTAGGCATTACGAAATGTTGACTTAAGAGCCAACAATAGTATGTGGTGGCCAGAAATGTCACTTGATATTGAAAAATTTGTTAATGATTGTCCCAAATGTACTGAACATAGACATTCCGACATTTAATTTCATTTCATTTCATCCGACGATAGTCAGGTCTGCCCTAGGTCACTTGCCCTAGTGCCTTATAATGGTGATTGCAAAAGCAAAGACACTAAGGAAATTGTAGTTGCTTAAATTCAGAGGGTAATTCGAATTAAATCATCCGTATTCTTGGGATTAAGACTATTTCTGCCTTAATCCTACCACTGATAATTTTTGCTTTAATCGATTTTGACATCATTTTTTTAATCGTTAGTCTGGTAACGTTGCACAGCTTCGGTGGATTTAAGTTTTGCATTAGTATTATTGGAGTTCCTTCTTTTAATGACAGTAATGTGGTGGGTTAGTGACAATTAGAGAGGCACCCGAGATAGCACGCACGATTTTTATTCACTTAATAATTTATGTTAGATTGTGTGGGTATAGAACGAAACATAAAAATACTAAGGCATTATCATCCCTTTTATTGTTTATAATACTTTGATAAAGGTTTTTATGTTTTTAATATTTAACATTGGAGAATTTAAACGTTGTTGAGTGCACAGGTGTGCTGCGATTGGGGTTAAATACATTTGGACTTATTCAAAAGCAAAATAGTTTTCTGTGCTGCACTCTTTGTACATTTTTGACAACAGCTAATTTGAACCAAGCAGCAACAAAAACCTGAGTGTGAGAACTTTACTTCTTTCTATTGTTTAGGTGAAGTGGTAGAACATTATGGCTATGGTAGATATTCTATATACTATAGTATACCATAGATTATAGTAAACCAAATTTTCTCAAAACGTGTTCTCTCTCATTGCAAATGCAAAGCACGAGTATTTAAAACTACAATAAGCATTGTATACCAACCCCGTACGAAGGACGGGTACTCAGCTAGTATATATACACATACATACATACATACATAGTTCCTCTTTTATAGATATAGATTTAAATGCTGCTCTTTATGACTTGTAATAATAAAGATTGATTTTATTTAATTTGAAAACTCACAGTTTAATATAAATGTTTCTATGACTATTTTTTATAAAAATGCGTATTGCAGTTTAGCATAAAAGTATTATTCTAATGATAATCAAATTTTTAAAGCATGGATGAGTATAAGTATCTCAGTAGGTCACACACTTGAATAAAATGACTGTATTTCTTCATTCATTAGTGTCCCAGACAACCGCCTGACTTGTTGTTTTCTTAAAACAGACAGCTCTACCTGGGAGCAGACCCTCATCTAAGATTTAGATCAGTGCCCACTGTCCATGTTCCAGGCAGTTCAGTTTCTTCTGGTGCCCAGTTCTTATCTCAACTACCCGATTAAGCCGCAGGCATCATTTATAGTCACGAAATTCAATAACTACTAAATTTCAAAAATATATTACCACGAGAGCTGACACTGCAGGAGCTTGGGCGGGGATCTCTGCAGCTGCTGGTTGAGCCTGGGAAACAAATCACCTTAAAACATAAAGGTAAACAATTTAGCATAATAAAAATATTCCTTAAATTGTTGGGTTTGTGGTATTGAGTGAAAAGAATGTACATTTTCCTTGATTAGCTTGTATAAGATTATACTGTAAAATACATTAACGACCGTGTGGAAAGTAGTGTAATACTCAAGTTTATGACACTTTAGTTAGTGTAAAAAAGTCATTATCTTACTAATATTATAAACTAGCTGTTACCCGCCGGCTTCGCTCGACGTAACCTTTTTGTCTTATTGTTAGATCCAGCATCTCATTCCCTATATTTTTTCTATTCGAACTTGATATACTCCATATATTATGTACTTACATAAACTTAGCATCTTAAATTAAATAGAAAAGTAATCACCCGAATAAATATTAACAAATTGAACTCTTTATTTAACAAAACTATTTTTAATTTGTAGAATAATTCATCAACAAATTCCAGATAAAACAATAACAATACAACAACACCTTTTTAAACTGGAAAAATCTATGTTGTATTGATGTAAATTCATTACAATAATACATTTCTATAGACAACATTGTAAGATTTGTTATTCTCAGCCAGTATATGCAGGTTTTGGGGACTTGACACTCTTGAACAACCGACATATAGCTGACCGTGTGAGAAGCAAGGTGTTCCCAAATGAATTCCTGCAACTCTCAGCGTTTGTCCCTGTGACTTATTGACTGTCATCGTAAATGCCACCTTTATCGGGAACTGTAGCCTCCTAAACTGGAATGGCAGATTATTAGGAATAATCGGGATTCTTGGAATCAAAACGCTTTCTCCTTTAGCTGTTCCAGTCAGAATAGTGGCATGTACTATGTTTCTTCCTAGCTCTGTGACTCGAAGCCTAGTGCCATTGCACAATCTTGGTGCATCAAGGTTGCGCATCAGCAGAACTGGTACGCCAACTTTTAGCTCGAGTTTATGGGAAGGCACGCCTGTTAGTTCCAATGAGTTTAGAAATTCTACAGGGTAAGTGGGACTGTCGTCACTGCTCATCACAGTGTCTATTGACGTGTATATTTTTGACTCCCCTGCTAACATTGCCAATATATGTTTGTTGATGTTGTTGACAGACTCATTTGTTGGAGATAGAACTGCCCTCTCGCATAACCATTCTTCGTTGCTTATATTCCTTTGTATGTTTGGATAAACGTGAGCAATAAGTTCATCCTCTGTTGTCACTGGATGACAAAAATCATTGGTAAATTCGATTTTTCCATCTGTGTCTGTTTTTAGGAGACCCTCTCCTATTTTCAGAAGCTTAGACGCATAGGCACCTGACTCCAAATCGTTGAAAAGCTGGACACGCATGTTACATGTAAGCTGGAGCTTTATTACCTTGGACCACAGTTGAGACGCCTTTAGACATGCATTCATCTCATCCACCGGTGTCCCCCTCTCAATAACGGGCAGTGTCTGTCTGAAGTCACCAGCGAGCAGAACTACAACACCTCCCATTAGAGATTGGTTGCTGCGTATATCTTGCAGGCTGAAGTTCAAAGCCTCTAAGGCGTGCTTGTGCGACATAGTGCACTCGTCCCACACAATTAACTTGCACTGTTGCAGGAGAGCACCGCGGTTGCTATTTTTACTTATGTTGCATGTAGGGGTCTCTTGGCTTGCTAGATTTAATGGCAATTTAAAAGTAGAATGTGCTGTCCGTCCACCGTTCAACAACGTTGCAGCGATTCCCGAGGAAGCCACAGCCAGGGCTATGTTCCGGTCCTTGCGAAGTCGGGCGAGCAGTAGGTTTAACACAAATGTTTTACCAGTACCCCCTGGTGCGTCCAGAAAGAAGAGTCCCCCATTACTACTATTTACATGCTGTATAATTACATCGTAAACGTGCCTTTGTTCGGGAAGCAAACGTGGCTCCATATCATGGACAAAGATATCTAAGGCAACGGCATCGTAATTCAGTTCTCTTACAACATCGCTTGACAATTCTCCCCTTTGTTCTGGAGTGGGCAAACCGAAGTCTGTCATTTTCATCCCAGATAAATTAGTTATTTTGTTCTCTATTAACTTTAAAGCCTCATTAACTATCAATTCTATGTGCGTACCTTGGAGTCTATGAGCTATATCTTCTGATAATGCAACCTTGTACTTGTCCCACAGTTGAAGTGGATTTGAGAGACCGCAAGTACTTACTATAACTGCAAACAACTCTCTGACTTTAGCTGGTGATCGGCACAGCACGGCTTCATCCATGGTAGCGTCCCAATGGTCGTCACTTTCTAAAAGCCCACGTGCCTCACAGGCTTTTCTAAATGTAGCATGTTCTTGTCCACCCACTGTTTTAAGATCGTGGAAGCTTGATGGGCCCCGTACTTGATTAAGCAGCATGCGCAAGCAGTAGCACTCAAAGTTGCTGACATGTACGGTATATATACGACCTAGTGCGTCTGCAGCTTTTACTCCCGGCCAGTTCTCAACAGGCTTTCCTTGTTTGCGGCGCTTCCACTCTTTCGCCGATGCATTCCAGATATAATAACGTGGTACTTCAACATAGAGCAAAGTTTTTGAAAATTCATCATTTTGACAAAGTTGGAAGAATGCAGTTAAAGTCGTCATAGGAGGAGTAGCGATTCTGTCGTGGAGATTTTGATCATTGAAGAAGACACGCTCGCCATTGGGCAAGTGCACCGCGAGATGGGTTACAGTGGGGTATCTCTCGTGCATTGGAAATCCCAATATACGCCACGCTGCTTCGTTACTGCTCACGTAACGTCCAGCTCTGAAACTCTGCACTTCATCCCTAGAATCAATGTTCACATTATCGGATTGCCTAACATTAAATATTGCCTGATCATTCCCTTTGTTAATATATTTGCAAATGTATTTTATGGCCTGTACAGAGCCACAATACTCCACATTCACATGGGCAGTAAACATTTTAAGGAGTAGGGGATTATATGGCACAATCCAGCTGTTATCTATTACAACTTCTTCTCCACCACGTATTCGAATAGTAGCTGTGCGTCCTCCATCCTCTGGCGCTGCACGTCTATACAGAGGGTAACCATTCGCATTTGTTTGAGTGGCATCTAGTAGCGCCCGAGGGTACGTCTTTGTGCACTTACTGTCCTTCATACAGGGAGCTGATGTATTATAATTGCCACATGGTCCGTGGATCATATGTTTTAGAACTGCGTCATACAGTTTTTTGTCGGTTTCAGGATCTGGGATTTCAGCACTAATTATGTCATCCATTTGATTTAGACGCAATTTTTCTTTAAGCCACAGTAAAACATGTACGTGTGGTAAGCCACGCTTCTGCCACTCTATTGAGTACATAAAGCACTGGCAATCTCCAAATACTTTACCTTTCGTGAGCAGAGATATAAGTTTTTTCACTTTCAATTCAAAAACTCTGGCAATGAGGTCGTGGCGATCTGTAGCTTTCTGACCAGGCATGAGTTCATCAGTTATCTCATTCCAAGAGGGGTTACACGTAAACGTGATGAATAAGTCCGGGCGTCCATAGTTACGGACATAAGCAAATGCATCTTGCGTGTACTCGTGAAGATATCGAGGGCTGTTAACAAAAGTTGACGGAAGAATCACCATCTGTCCTAAATCATTAGGATTCACATTGTTGTCGTTTCTTACAGCATCCTGCAGGTGTATGTAATTTTCAGCCCGTAACTTTTTCTGGTTCAATGAGATAAACCTCAAACGTTCGCTTTCTATTTTTACATACATATCTACCAGAAATTGATGTAAAAGTTTATTGCAGCGCAGAAGTAAATTGAATTCATTTGCACACACCATGATTTGAAATGCATAAAAATCCATGCATGACACTTTTTTATTTGGCAAAGGCTGTCTAGTGAGTGGGTTAATTTGGGGTATATCAAAGTGGTATCCTTCTTGGCCATTCCAGAAAATTATCGGATACTGAAGGGCATCATAGAACCTATGCGTGTCCGCGACACGGGATAGCTTGTCATCGCGGGCGTGCAACACAATGTCTCTACTTGTAGAATGATCATTGCCCACTACAATGGCTGCCACTTCGTTTATGGTGGGTAAGTTGTATCGTCTCTCATGCTGCCCATGAGGGACGCGATCAGGGTGGATTATTAATTTGCAGCTTTCATCCGGCATAACCTCTATCGCAGTTTTAAACTCTTTGATTAAATTATTATGCTCATGAAGGACTGTCTGTACTTTTCTTAGCGTTGGTTTTTCAACCCCTGGTACGATTTCAAATCTTCTATCAGTTTCTGCTTCCTCATCTCCATAAAAATATATCTGCAAAAAGTTTGGCTGCATATTTGGTGCAGGAAGTAGGGACCCAATTTTGTGGTAGACTTGCCCTTTAATTGTAAAGGTTGGTGAAAACCCAGGCATGTTCACTATTGTATCTGCCCCAAACGATGTCATGTGAAAGCAGGTGTTGTACCGCCTAATATTTTTCAAAAATCGCTTTGACTCATTAGTCTCACCGAGGAATAGCTCTTTCATAGGTTGTACTGGCTCTTGTGGCCGATGAATAGCAACCTTACCACCAGCACAACACATCCCTACAGGCTCCTCCTTCCACTTTAAAGCTCTGCAGTATCGACATTCAGTATCCATTCGCCCAACTTTTATCAAAACATGACTACTGTAATCTAGAGTTGGGTCGTACTCTAAGGCAGCATTTTCAAAGACGCCCCACGTATTCCTGTGGAACGTTTGCCGCCGTTGGGCAGCCCTTGCCGCAATAACGTTTCTGCGAAATTCAGCTTCCTCAGCAGTTTCTGTAGCTCGCTGGGATGCCATATGAACAGCGTGTTGTTGTCTACGTCGTTCATTCTGCTCCGTCGTTTCAGCTACTCTCAAGCTGGCCTGCCGGTGGGCTTGATCTGATAATCTAAGCTGACGTTCCTCTTGTGTTTCTACTGCTCTGTGAGCTGCCAGTCGCTGAGCATTCTCATTTAATCGAAGCTGACGTTCCTCTGGTGTTTCTGCTGATCTGTGAGCTGCCAGTCGCTCAGCATTCTCCTCTAGTCGAAGCTGAAGTTCTTCTGGTGTTTCAGCTACTCTCAAGCTGGCCTGCCGGTGGGCTTGATCTGATAATCTAAGCTGACGTTCCTCTTGTGTTTCTACTGCTCTGTGAGCTGCCAGTCGCTGAGCATTCTCATTTAATCGAAGCTGACGTTCCTCTGGTGTTTCTGCTGATCTGTGAGCTGCCAGTCGCTCAGCATTCTCCTCTAGTCGAAGCTGAAGTTCTTCTGGTGTTTCAGCTACTCTCAAGCTGGTCTGCCGGTGGGCTTGATCTGATAGTCGAAGCTGACGTTCCTCTTGTGTTTCTACTGCTCTGTGAGCTGCCAGTCGCTGAGCATTCTCATTTAATCGAAGCTGACGTTCCTCTGGTGTTTCTGCTGCTCTGTGACCTGCCAGCCGCTGAGCATTCTCCTCTAGTCGAAGCTGAAGTTCTTCTGGTGTTTCAGCTACTCTCAAGCTGGCCTGCCGGTGGGCTTGATCTGATAGTCGAAGCTGACGTTCCTCTTGTGTTTCTACTGCTCTGTGAGCTGCCAGTCGCTGAGCATTCTCATTTAATCGAAGCTGACGTTCCTCTGGTGTTTCTGCTGCTCTGTGACCTGCCAGCCGCTGAGCATTCTCCTCAAGTCGACGCTGACGTTCTTCTGGCGCTTCTGCTAATCTGTGAGCTGCTTGTCGCTTGGCTTTTCGCGAACTTTGGGATAAATTTGACTTACGTTTCTTCGGCATTTTAAGATGTATTTCTTGAATTCAAAACAGCAGTTAACATCGAATCCATAATGACGTGTCGATATTTAGATGCGTAAACCAAAATAAAAACAAAAAAAAAATATAAACAAATAACTAAAATGGCAGCTGTATTTCTTTAGGATATTTAAATCACATAAACGTTACCTTTAAGTGCTGCATTCTGAAGTTAACCTTATGAACTATTTGGAATGTCTGATTATGTTGCATGATGTAAAGCCTTTTTTAGTTGGAACAGCTGACTGAATTCTTTAATTCCCTTTAAATATGAATACCCATGAGATTAACATTGGGAACTACAGAACCACTGGGGCGGAGCCCGAAAGGATTTTTGAGATAAGAATATGCTTTAATGTTAATCGGGAATGTGAGCTATCATCATGCCAATTTGTAGCCCAATCCGTCCAGTAGTTTATGCGTGATTGAGCAACACACACACAAACACACACACAAACACACACACAAACATACACACAAACTCACAAACTTTCAGATTTATAATATTAGTAAGAAAGATATGAAAGTTTGTGTAGTTGTTTGTTTGTTTGAAATTCAATCACGCATTAACTGCTGGTCGGATCGGGCTGAAATTTGGCATGATGATAGCTCACATTCCCGATTAACATATAGGCATATTCTTATCTCAAAAAACCTTTCGGGCTCTGCCCCAGTGGCTCTGGAGTTTACTATGTTAACCTTATGAGTATTCAAGTTTAAAAGGAGTTACAGAATTTAGTCAGCTGTTTCAACTAAACCAGTTGGTTCTTTGACATTGAATACCATTAAAAGCTAACAACAGGATGCAGCACTATTATTTTTTGTAATTTTATGACAACAGCTAATTTTAACTAAGCAGCAACAAAAAGCTGTGATACACAATGCAAATTGTTAAAGTTGTATTGTTTACAGTTTTATATATGTTTTTCATTTAATTAATAATTTGCGGTATTGTACAAATGTTTGATAATTTACTTTTTTCTATTATTCAGGTGCAGTGGTAGAACATAATGTCTGTGTTAGACGTGTTATATGGTTATACTAAATGCAAAGCTTGAGTATAACTGCAATAAGCATTTTATATGAATATACGCCAACCCCGTACAAAGGACGGGTTCTCTGCTAGTATATATATATTTTTAATGCATGTAAAAAATATCATCATGTTTTGCCAAAAAAATTTTTTTTTATGATCAAAAAATTAGTGGTGGGTCTTGCTTCATACTAAAATTAGGAGTACATCCTATAACAACCCATCAATCAATCAATCAATTATTTAAGATGGGGACGCCAATATGTACGTATTTAAACCCAAATATGAGTGAAGGACGAACCCATCCCATTTGTAACAGCACTACTATTTATCAAGCCAGCCATATGGCAATAATTGTAATGTTATAAACTAAAGCATTCTACATCAATGTGGTTTTACCTATTTTAACACCGGCTTATTCTGAGGACGCATCACTGGGTCCGCCCCAACCCCTAACAACGCCATTCTCTGCTGATTGACCTCTTCCGCCATCCAATGTTTCAATAAGCCGATCTGTACAGTGGGACACTGCCTTACGTGATGAATATGGCCAGGTTGTACAACCCTGTTGTATGGTCAGAGGCCTGATGGATAATATTATCCTGGTGGATGTAAGCCCGGTTCCTTTGCCTCACTTGGCTGCAAACTCTTGAACATTCACTACTTTAACCAGCCTCAGTACCGAATCTCTGAAAAAATAAGTATACAATGAACTATTAGTACGGTATAATAACAAACAATACTCAACTTATATTTTATACACGTTAAGGAAATAATTCCTTTAATACGTATGTATTATAAGGCCTGGGTTATAAGATTATTAAAGGTTTAAGGCACAGGCCAGTCTTGAGATAGATGGAGAGTCAGGAGACAGGTCCCATACAGACTTTTGAAGATGGGTATAGTGTATTCTATACTTCTTATGAGAAGTAGACGTTAGGTAACACCAACAGAAATGAAATAGCCAAGTTAAAGTCTGTACGATATAATGTAAGTCCACTGAGTGCAGAATTTGTCATTACTTTGAACTATTACAAAGGATTATATTAACATAAGGTAGAGAAATGTCATTTTCACAAATTTGTTATAAATGTTAGTGCGCCTAGTGCCCTTGGGACAAGGATTTCTCATCATATCATATTAATACGTTCATTACCGCAATAGTACTAAATTTTTCAATCATATATACCAAGCGATGCACATATGCGACGGCTGGCCACATTAAAATAGACTGACATCGCAATGTTATTAAGGAGCATATATCTTCGTAACAGTCTATTTGAAGTCCCTGAATTCTCTGCAGTGGTCTACAGGGATGTCTGTCGCATATGTGCGTCTGTAGACATGATGATTTGAGACCTCATATCATATTTGGCAAAACAGTTTTTTACTTTGCTGCATCATTGGCCCACGGTTTGCAAGTACTCGTACTGTTAACCAAGTCACACCTGGTCTATGTGTATACTTAAAATGTATACCACAAGCCATGGCATATTGTATACCTTTTTTGTATACCACAAGCCGTGGCATTGACCGCAGCGTCGCAAATATGTGGCGATTGGTAGCAAACCAGCAAACGGTGTTAAAAACTACTACAAAATTATCAGTTATACAAACACTTGTGTGCCATGTAACTGAACAATCTTAGACCTAGATAATATTTGAATACAGTATTCCACTCATGACTGTATTGTTCACTACATGAAAATTTGCATATTATAAAAAATCCCACAAGGTCTATTCCCCATTTAGTGCAATAGGATAGTAGGTCTCATGGTAAGATCTCTGGACCCAGGACCGATTAACTTTTTCGTTTTGAGGTCCTCAGAGGCTAAAAACACTATACAGTGGAACCTCTTTAATCCGAACCCCCGTAATCCGAACGTCCACTAATCCGAACCCCTCATTGCTGTACTCTATACACAGGACAGCAGTTCTTTACTGTATACTGTATTTAATTTACAGTATGGTTTATTCACCACACCATATTTACTACTGTATTAAATAAACACTGTATTTTACTTTATATAACATTACCTATTTCACTTTTCCCAAAATAATGTTGAACCATTTTAGCCATGTTTTAGCTATTGTTATGTAAAAATAACAATATGTTCTGTAATCCGAACTATTCAATAGTCCAAACTACCCCTGGTCCCAATTAGTTCAGATTAAAGAGGTTCTACTGTACTAATGTGTCCGTTAGCATGATAGCTTGAGCAAAAATTATCCGATTGATGAAATTTGGTGTAAACCCACATTAATTTGAACTAGTTCGCAAACTAGCATAATCGGATCATGGGAACAGGGGTTCATGGAGGCTTTTATGGGGTAAATGGATTTTTCCCATTTTTTACACCAAAAGCATTAAAGTTTGCAGTTATTTCCAAAACATTTTGTAGACAAAAAAAATAATAACTTTGTATGTTAAATTATGTTGTTATGCGATCTGGCGCCACCACTCCTGACGCACAAACAAGCGAAACATGCAATGATAATGATAATGGAGCATATTAGATAGGGCGGCAACAGGTGACTTTGGCTCGCTGTGGCTGTGGCAGCAGACCATTGATTGCTACTGTGCTTTATTATACTGCGCCCCTACACTTTTTATAGATTTTAAAATTATATTGAATACCGTATATAATAACAGCTCTTTAGTAGCTTTTTTGTATTTGGGTGAAAACTGTCCCTGGCCTTTTATTTTGTAGATACTGTATTTGTAGTATATTATTATGTGTTTTAATCTTTTTTGGGATGGGGGCAACATGTTACAAACATTTATTTGTTTTTAAATAGGTTCTAGGTATTTTTGTTGTTGTATCTTTGAAGTCTCGAAATTCACAACCATTGCGTGTCCCTAGGGTACATTTTTCAACTTTCACGCTGTTTTTAGACTAATTACTCATGCTGAAATATATGCCATATTTTTATGTCATTAATAGTTATTAAATTTACAAAAAAGGAGCATATAATAATTTTGTTTTCTAATCAATGAGTATGCATGCAGTGTATGGTCTGGTTTGAATTTACATAATTGACTGCTATGTCCAGTTTGAAATAGAAGCCTATATCCAATAGCCTTGACAGATACTTTAAGATTTTTAACCTCACTTCCTACGGGTAAATTGTAAAACTCAGCTGTAGATAGAAAGAATGGAATCCCATGAAATGGTACTTTAGCATAGGGTGTGAATAAATGCCAGTATGAATCAGAATCATCCTTATATGTACTGTACTTAGAACTGGAGAGTAGTTAAAAGCAAAGGTTGACATCAGTCTAGTATGTTTATACATCAAGCTGATTTTTTGATAATCCTTTCCACCTGTGTGAATATTTGCTCCTTGAGACATACCTCCACCACCAGATTCTCTTTTGCCCTCTACTGGTACTGCTCGTTTCTTCTTAGGGGCTGGTTCACCGCCTGGTTTCATAGTGGTTGGTTTTGCACTTCCTCGGAGGAGAGTATCCATAACACTTGCCATATTTTGGTTAAAAAGTTTGGGTTTAATATTATGTACACAATTTTAAATACTAAAACTAACTTTATAATTTGCAAAAAACTGATACGATGTTGGTGTACAAACTCTCTTGGTGGTGTCACATCCATAACTAACACGATGGCATTAGTCCTTGAGATAACATAACCATGTTAGAGGGTGGGGTATCATGCATACCCACCCATACATATGTTGTAATACAGGCCTCCTGGAGGCTTGTCGCAGCTACTCTGCCAGTCCAACGTCCAATGGCCTGCAGGACGGAGACAAGTTGAATGAGCAGCCTAGCGGAAGTTACGAAGCTAACGGTGTCAGCTGACACACAATGCTAACGTACACAATCACCCATAAATGTGTAGATGTCAATTAGGAACTTGTGTTTGTCCTCACACGGACATACACAAGATTTATTTTAATTTAGTATTTTTTCTCAAGTCATATATAGATTTTA